GTCTAGATGTACATTACTCTCCAGTATGGTTCTTCTCTCCAGTCTAGATGTACATTACTCTCCAGTATGGTTCTTCTCTCCAGTCCAGATGTACATTACCCTCCAGTATGGTTCTTCTCTCCAGTCTAGATGTACATTACTCTCTAGTATGGTTCTTCTCTCCAGTCTAGATGTGTGTTACTCTCCAGTATGGTTCTTCTCTCCAGTCTAGATGTACATTACCCTCCAGTATGGTTCTTCTCTCCAGTCTAGATGTACATTACCCTCCAGTATGGTTCTTCTCTCCAGTCTAGATGTACATTACTCTCTAGTATGGTTCTTCTCTCCCAGTCTAGATGTACATTACTCTCCAGTCTAGATGGACATTACTCTCCAGTATGGTTCTTCTCTCCAGTCTAGATGTACATTACTCTCCAGTATGGTTCTTCTCTCCAGTCTAGATGTACATTACTCTCCAGTATGGTTCTTCTCTCCAGTCTAGATGTACATTACTCTCCAGTATGGTTCTTCTCTCCAGTCTAGATGTACATTACTCTCCAGTATGCTTCTTCTCTCCAGTCTAGATGTACATTACTCTCCAGTATGGTTCTTCTCTCCAATCTAGATGTACATTACTCTCCAGTATGGTTCTTCTCTCCAGTCTAGATGTACATTACTCTCCAGTATGGTTCTTCTCTCCAGTCTAGATGTACATTACTCTCCAGTATGGTTCTTCTCTCCAGTCTAGATGTACATTACTCTCCAGTATGGTTCTTCTCTCCAGTCTAGATGTACATTACTCTCCAGTATGGTTCTTCTCTCCAGTCTAGATGTACATTACTCTCCAGTCTAGATGGACATTACTCTCCAGTATGGTTCTTCTCTCCAGTCTAGATGTACATTACTCTCCAGTATGGTTCTTCTCTCCAGTCTAGATGTACATTACCCTCCAGTATGGTTCTTCTCTCCAGTCTAGATGTACATTACTCTCCAGTATGGTTCTTCTCTCCAGTCTAGATGTACATTACTCTCCAGTATGGTTCTTCTCTCCAGTCTAGATGTACATTACTCTCCAGTATGGTTCTTCTCTCCAGTCTAGATGTACATTACCCTCCAGTATGGTTCTTCTCTCCAGTCTAGATGTACATTACTCTCCAGTCTAGATGTACATTACTCTCCAGTATGGTTCTTCTCTCCAGTCTAGATGTACATTACTCTCCAGTATGGTTCTTCTCTCCAGTCTAGATGTACATTACTCTCCAGTATGGTTCTTCTCTCCAGTCTAGATGTACATTACTCTCCAGTATGGTTCTTCTCTCCAGTCTAGATGTACATTACTCTCCAGTATGGTTCTTCTCTCCAGTCTAGATGTACATTACTCTCCAGTATGGTTCTTCTCTCCAGTCTAGATGTACATTACCCTCCAGTATGGTTCTTCTCTCCAGTCTAGATGTACATTACTCTCCAGTATGGTTCTTCTCTCCAGTCTAGATGTACATTACTCTCCAGTATGGTTCTTCTCTCCAGTCTAGATGTACATTACTCTCCAGTATGGTTCTTCTCTCCAGTCTAGATGTACATTACTCTCCAGTATGGTTCTTCTCTCCAGTCTAGATGTACATTACTCTCCAGTATGGTTCTTCTCTCCAGTCTAGATGTACATTACTCTCCAGTATGGTTCTTCTCTCCAGTCTAGATGTACATTACCCTCCAGTATGGTTCTTCTCTCCAGTCTAGATGTACATTACTCTCCAGTATGGTTCTTCTCTCCAGTCTAGATGTACATTACTCTCCAGTATGGTTCTTCTCTCCAGTCTAGATGTACATTACTCTCCAGTATGGTTCTTCTCTCCAGTCTAGATGTACATTACTCTCCAGTATGGTTCTTCTCTCCAGTCTAGATGTACATTACTCTCCAGTATGGTTCTTCTCTCCAGTCTAGATGTACATTACTCTCCAGTATGGTTCTTCTCTCCAGTCTAGATGTACATTACTCTCCAGTATGGTTCTTCTCTCCAGTCTAGATGTACATTACTCTCCAGTATGGTTCTTCTCTCCAGTCTAGATGTACATTACTCTCCAGTATGGTTCTTCTCTCCAGTCTAGATGTACATTACTCACCAGTATGGTTCTTCTCTCCAGTCTAGATGTACATTACTCACCAGTATGGTTCTTCTCTCCAGTCTAGATGTACATTACTCTCCAGTATGGTTCTTCTCTCCAGTCTAGATGTACATTACTCTCCAGTATGGTTCTTCTCTCCAGTCTAGATGTACATTACTCTCCAGTATGGTTCTTCTCTCCAGTCTAGATGTACATTACTCTCCAGTATGGTTCTTCTCTCCAATCTAGATGTACATTACTCTCCAGTATGGTTCTTCTCTCCAGTCTAGATGTACATTACTCTCCAGTATGGTTCTTCTCTCCAGTCTAGATGTACATTACTCTCCAGTCTAGATGGACATTACTCTCCAGTATGGTTCTTCTCTCCAGTCTAGATGTACATTACTCTCCAGTCTAGATGTACATTACTCTCCTGTATGGTTCTTCTCTCCAGTCTAGATCTACATTACTCTCCAGTATGGTTCTTTCTCTCCAATCTAGATGTACATTACTCTCTAGTATGGTTCTTCTCTCCAGTCTAGATCTACATTACTCTCCAGTATGGTTCTTCTCTCCAGTCTAGATGTACATTACTCTCCAGTATGGTTCTTCTCTCCAGTCTAGATGTACATTACTCTCCTGTATGGTTCTTCTCTCCAGTCTAGATGTACATTACTCTTCAGTATGGTTCTTCTCTCCAATCTAGATTTGTGCTGTTCTCCAGTATGGTTCTTCTCTCTCCAGTCTAGACGTGTGCTGCTCTCCAGTATGGTTCTTCTCTCCAGTCTAGAGGTGTGCTGCTCTCCTGTATGGTGCTGCTCTCCAGTCTAGAGGTGTGCTGCTCTCCAGTATGGTTCTTCTCTCCATTCAAGATGTGTGCTGCTCTCCAGTATGGTTCTTCTCTCCGATTTAGATGTGAATTACTCTCCAGTATGGTTCTTCTCTCCATTCAAGATGTGTGCTGCTCTCCAGTATGGTTCTTCTCTCCAATCTATATGTGCGTTGCTCCCCAGTATGGTTTTTCTCTCAGATTTAGATGTGTATTACTCTCCAGTAGGGATCTTCTCTCCAATCTAGATGTGTGTTGCTCTCCAGTATGGTTTTTTTCTCCAATTTAGATGTGCATTGCTCTCCAGTATGGTTCTCTCCATTCTAGATGTACATTACTCTCCAGTATGGTTCTTCTATCCGATCTAGATGTGTTATTCTCTGGTGTGGTTTCTTTCTCTCTATTTGGTCTAAATGTGTGCTTCCCGTCTCCTGTGTAGATATACAGAATTACCATCCGTTGTGGTTTCTTGCTTTAGTCTAGATGTGTATTACTCTCTGGTGTGGTTCTCTCCCATCTAGACGTGCATTACTCTCAAGTATGCCTCCTCCATAGTCTTCATGTGGGTCACTCTCTGATGTAGTTCCTCTATCTTCAATCTAGATGGTGTTTCCTCTCTCTTTGATCTACATTTGTTACTCTTCGGTGTGCTTCCTCTCAAGTGTAGAAGAGCGCTACCCTCTAGTGTGGTTTCTCTCTCCGATCTAGATGTGTGTTACCCACAGGGGTAGTTTCTCTCTCCAGACTAGATGTCTGTTACTCTCTGGTGCGGGCTCTCTGGTGTAGATGTCTGTTACTCTCTGGTACGGTCTTTTCTCTCTGCGGTGTAGATGTCTGTTACTCTCCGGTGTGGTCTCTCTCCAGACTAGATGTCTGTTACTCTCTGGTACGGTCTTCTCTCTCTCCGGTGTAGATGTCCGTTACTCTCTGGTGTCTTTCTCTCCAGACTAGATGTCTGTTACTCTCTGGTGAAGTCTCTCTCTCCGGTGTAGGTGTGTTAATCTCCGCTGAGGTCTCTCTGTCTCCAGACTAGATGTGTTACTCTCCGGTGCAGGCTCTCTGGTGTAGATGTCTGTTACTCTCCGGTGTAGATGTCTGTCTCCAGACTAGATGTCTGTTACTCTCTGGTGTAGATGTCTGTCTCTGGTGTAGGTGTGTTACTTTCTGCTGAGGTCTCTCTGTCTGCAGACTAGATGTGTTACTCTCTGGTGTGGAGTCTCTCTCTTTTGTGTTGGTAATGTGGAGTCATTCTGACACATTTTGTATGTCATATTATGTCTAGCAAGGCCTCATTATGGCCTTTGGTTACACCTTCCTCAGATCCTAGCAAGACCTCACTATGGCCTTAGGTTACACCTTCCCCAGATCCTAGCAAGGCCTCATTATGACCTTTGGTTACACCTTCCCCAGATCTTAGCAAGGCCTCACTATGACCTTCGGTTACACCTTCCCCAGATCCTAGCAAGGCCTCACTATGACCTTCGGTTACACCTTCCTCAGATCCTAGCAAGGCCTCACTATGGCCTTAGGTTACACCTTCCCCAGATCCTAGCAAGACCTCACTATGACCTTTGGTTACACCTTCCCCAGATCCTAGCAAGGCCTCACTATGACCTTCGGTTACACCTTCCCCAGATCTTAGCAAGGCCTCACTATGACCTTCGGTTACACCTTCCCCAGATCCTAGCAAGGCCTCACTATGGCCTTAGGTTACACCTTCCCCAGATCCTAGCAAGACCTCACTATGGCCTTAGGTTACACCTTCCCCAGATCCTAGCAAGGCCTCACTATGACCTTCGGTTACACCTTCCCCAGATCTTAGCAAGGCCTCACTATGGCCTTAGGTTACACCTTCCCCAGATCCTAGCAAGGCCTCACTATGACCTTTGGTTACACCTTCCCCAGATCCTAGCAAAGCCTTACTATGGTCTTTGGTTACACCTTCCCCATATCCTAGCAAAGCCTCACTATGACCTTTGGTTACACCTTCCCCAGATCCTAGCAAGGCCTCACTGTGACCTTTGGTTACATCCCCCCCCATTCTCCAAGGAAAGCTGGGTGTTCTGTTGATCTAATACAAGGTACTTACTGTAAAGATGTTGGAACGACGCTTGCTCTGCTTGCGTATTGGGGTTGGTGTACTGGAGGCTGCGATGGTCTCGATACGCAGCTCACGCTGGCTTATACTTGGAGTAGAGGGGACGGAAGAGGAGTAGTCACTGAACGTTCCGGCACCATTTGTGGCCTACATGGAATATAATAGAGAAGTCAGATCTGTTTACTGGAGACCGAACACACTACATTGTACACAGCCGCCCACCATGACGACATCGATTTCTGGTCTCATTTAATGAGGATTTTATGGCGTATCCATGGTTACTGGTATATGTACAAAGTAGGTCTGTCGCACCCCAATACCATGAAACCGATTCATTGAATACAAAGACGTCTATCTGACCACCAGTGACAGACTGCCCGGAGGAAGCGAACGGTTCTACATTAAATCGAACTTTCATTGATGGCGGGATTTTTGCGCACCGCACAGCTGTATTTGCATAGACCAGCCTTTCCCAACCGGGGTGCCGCGGCATTCTGCAGATCCCACCAAACTCCCGCTCTGCTGAATATTAGCACAGGAGGAGTTCGGACGGCACAGGGCAAAGAAGAGCAGTAGAAAGGGGAGGCAGCTTTCTGAATCCTGAACTCTCCATCTACAGGACAGTACCTGACCAGCGCCATCCACAGGATTGTAATGGAGGAACAATTCTGCCCTGAGGCTCTAGTGAGAGGAAAGAAGGGAGCAGAGGGGATCAAATGGGAGGGTGGGGGTTGGCTTGCAGAGGTTAGCAAAGAGAGTAAGGTACAAAAGGTGTGCCAACAATGGGGTCCGGAGTACAGAGGTGAGCAGAGAGGGGGGGTCCGGAGTACAGAGGTGAGCAGAGAGGGGGGTCCGGAGTACAGAGGTGAGCAGAGAGGGGGGGTCCTGCAGGGGTGAGCAGAGAGGGGGGGTCGCAGTACAGGTGAGCAGAGACAGAGTGAGCAGAGAGGGGGGGTGAGTACAGAGGTGAGCAGAGAGGGGGGGTCTGTGAGCAGAGAGGCAGTACAGAGGTGAGGAGGGGGGTCTGCAGTACAGAGGTGAGCAGAGAGGGGGGGTCTGCAGTACAGAGGTGAGCAGAGAGGGGGGGTCTGCAGTACAGAGGTGAGAGCAGAGTGAGCAGAGGGGGGGGGGGGGGGGGTCTGCAGTACACAGAGGTGAGCAGAGAGGGGGGGGGGGGGTCTGCAGTACAGAGGTGAGAGCAGAGAGCAGAGAGGGGGGGTCTGGGGGTCCAGAGGGGGGTAGTACAGAGGTGAGCAGAGAGGGGGGGGGGTCTGCAGTACAGAGGTGACCAGAGAGAGGGGGGGTCTGCAGTACAGAGGTGAGCAGAGAGGGGGGGTCTGCAGTACAGAGGTAAGCAGAGGGGAGGGGGGGGTCTGGAGTACAGAGATGAGCAGAGGGGGGGGGGGGGGGGTCTGCAGTACAGAGGTGACCAGAGAGAGGGGGGGTCTGCAGTACAGAGGTGAGCAGAGAGGGGGGGTCTGCAGTACAGAGGTACAGAGGTGAGCAGAGGGGGGGAGGGGGGGTCTGGAGTACAGAGATGAGCAGAGGGGGGGGGGGTCTGAGCAGGGGAGGGGGGTCAGTACAGAGGTGACCAGAGATGAGAGAGGGGGGGGTCTGCAGTACAGAGGTGAGCAGAGAGGGGGGGTCTGCAGTACACAGAGTGAGCAGAGAGGGGGGGTCTGCAGTACACAGGTGAGCAGAGAGAGGGGGGGTCTGCAGTACACAGAGGTGAGCAGAGAGGGGGGGTCTGGGGCAGTACAGAGGTAAGCAGAGGGGAGGGGGGGGGGGGGTCTGCAGTACAGAGGTAAGCAGAGGGAGAGAGGGGGGGGGGGGTCTGGAGTACAGAGATGAGCAGAGTGGGGGGGTCTGCAGTACAGAGGTAGCAGAGAGGGGGGTCTGGGGTACAGAGTACAGAGGTGAGCAGAGAGAGGGGGGGGTCTGGAGTACAGAGAGTGAGCAGAGAGGGGGGGGGGGTCTGGAGTACAGAGATGAGCAGCAGAGAGGGGGGGTCTGGAGTACAGAGGTGAGCAGAGGGGGGGTCTGGAGTACAGAGAGCAGAGGGGGGGTCTGGAGTACAGAGGTGAGCAGAGAGGGGGGGGGGGGTCTGGAGTACAGAGGTGAGCAGAGAGCAGGGGGGGGGGGGTCTGGAGTACAGAGGTGAGCAGAGAGGGGGGGGGGGGGTCTGGAGTACAGAGTGAGCAGAGAGTACAGAGGTGGGGGGTCTGGAGTACAGAGGTGAAGCAGAGGGAGGGGGGGGGGGGTCTGGAGTACAGAGAGGGGGGGTCTGGAGTACAGAGGTGAGCAGAGGGGGGGTCTGAGTACAGGGAGGGGGGGGGGGGTCTGGAGTACAGAGATGAGCAGAGAGGGGGGGTCTGGGTACAGAGGTGAGCAGAGAGGGGGGGTCTGGAGTACAGAGGTGAGCAGAGAGGGGGGGTCTGGGGTACTGGAGTACAGAGAGATGAGCAGAGGGGGGGGGTCTGGAGTACAGAGGTGAGTAGAGAGGGGGGGTGGGGGGGGTACAGAGGTGAGTAGAGAGGGGGGTTTGGGGTACAGAGGTGAGAGAGAGAGGGGGTTGGGGTACAGAGGTGAGCAGAGTGGGGGGTTTGGGGTACAGAGGTGAGCAGAGGGGGGGGGGGTCTGGGAGTACAGAGATGAGCAGAGGGGGGTCTGGGGTACAGAGATGAGTCTGGAGAGTGAGCAGAGAGGGGGGGTCTGGGGGTACAGAGGTGAGCATGAGCAGAGAGGGGGGGGGGTACAGAGGTACTGGAGGGGGGGGGGGTACAGAGATGAGCAGAGAGGGGGGGTCTGGAGTACTGAGCAGAGAGGGGGGGTCTGGAGTACAGAGGTGAGCAGAGAGCAGAGAGGGGGGGGGGTCTGGAGTACAGAGGTAGGGGAGGGAGGTCTGGTGTACAGAGATGAGCAGGAGGGGGGGTCTGGAGTACAGAGTGAGCAGAGGTGAGAGGGGAGGGGGGGTCTGGAGTACAGAGGTACAGAGAGGTAAGCAGAGAGGGGGGGTCTGGAGGTACAGAGGTGAGCAGAGAGGAGAGGGGGGGGGTCTGGGGGGGGTACAGAGAGGTGAGCAGAGAGGTGGGGAGGGGGGGGGGGTTGAGCAGAGAGGGGGGGTCTGGGGTACAGAGGTGAGCAGAGAGGGGGGGTCTTGGTGACAGAGAGGGGGGTGAGGGGGGGGTCTGGGGTACAGAGAGGGGGGTCTGGAGTACAGAGATGAGCAGAGAGGGGGGTCTGGGGTACAGAGGTGAGCAGAGAGGGGGGGTCTGGAGTACAGAGGTGAGCAGAGAGGGGGGGGGGGTCTGGAGGGGAGGTACAGAGATGAGCAGAGGGGGGGGTTGGAGTACAGAGGTGAGCAGAGGGGAGGGGGGGGGGGGGTCAGAGAGGGGGGAGTACAGCAGGTGAGCAGAGAGGGGGGGTCTGGGGTACAGAGGTCTGAGCAGAGTGAGCAGAGGGGAGGGGGGGGGGTCTGGAGTACAGAGATGAGCAGAGAGGGGGGGTCTGGAGTACAGAGGGGAGGGGGGGGGGGTCTGTACAGAGGCAGTGAGCAGAGGGGGGGGTACAGGGGGGTCAGAGGGGGGGTCTGGAGTACAGAGGTGAGCAGAGAGGGGGGGGGGTCTGGGGTACAGAGGTGAGCAGAGAGGGGGGGTTGGGTACAGAGGTGAGCAGAGGGGGGGGGTTGGGAGTACAGAGATGAGCAGAGAGGGGGGGGTCTGCAGAGGTGAGTACAGAGGTGAGCAGAGGGAGGGGGGGGGGGGTACAGAGGTGAGCAGAGGAGGGGGGGGGCAGTACAGAGGTGAGCAGAGAGGGGGGGTCTGGGTACAGAGGTGAGCAGAGGGGGGGGGGGGGTCTGTACAGAGTACAGAGAGGGGGGTTTGGGGTACAGAGGTGAGCAGAGGGGGGGGGGGGGGTCTGGAGTACAGAGATGAGCAGAGCAGAGAGGGGGGGTCTGGAGTACAGAGGTGAGCAGAGGGGGGGGGGGGGTCTGGGGTACAGAGGTGAGCAGACAGAGGGGGGGGGGGGGGGGGTCTGGAGTACAGAGGTGAGCAGAGGGGTGGGGGGGGTCTGGAGTGAGTGAGCAGAGTACAGAGGTGAGCAGAGAGGGGAGGGGGGGGGGTCTGGGAGTACAGAGGGGGGGTCTGGGTGGTGAGCAGAGAGGGGGGTCTGGGTACAGGAGGTGAGCAGAGGGGGAGGGGGGGGGGTCTGGAGTACAGAGATGAGCAGAGAGGAGGGGGGGGGTCTGGAGTACAGAGGTGAGCAGCAGAGGGGCAGAGGGGGGGGGTCTGGGTACAGAGGTGAGCAGAGGATGAGCAGGAGGGGGGGGGGTCTGGGGTACAGAGGTGAGCAGAGAGGGGGGGTCTGGGGTACAGAGATGAGGGGGGGGGGTCTGGAGTACAGAGGGAGCAGGAGGGGGGGGGGGTCTGCAGTACAGAGGTGAGCAGAGAGGGGGGGGTTGGGGGGGTACAGAGGGAGCAGGGGGGGGGGTCTGGGGTACAGAGGTCTGGAGCAGAGAGGGAGGGGGGGTCTGGGGTACAGAGGTACAGAGGATGAGCAGAGAGGGGGGGGGGGTCTGGGGTACAGAGGATGAGCAGAGAGGGGGGGGGTCTGGGGTACAGAGGGGAGCAGAGGGAGCAGGGGGGGGGTTTGGGGTACAGGTAGCAGAGGGGGGGGTCTGGAGAGAGGGGGGGTCTGGGGTACAGAGGGGGGGGGTGGAGTACAGAGGTACAGAGGTGAGTACAGGGGGGGGGGGGTCTGGAGTACAGAGGTGAGCAGAGAGGGGGGGGGGGGTTTGGGGTACAGAGGGGGAGCAGAGGGGGGGTGGAGCAGGGGGGGGTGGGGTCTGGGGTACAGAGGGGGGGGGGTTCTGGGTACAGTGAGGGAGGGGGGGGGGGTACAGAGGGGAGCAGAGGGGGGGGGGGTCTGGGGTGGAGTACAGAGATGAGCAGAGAGGGGGGGGGTTTGGGGTACAGAGGTGAGCAGAGGGGGGGGTTTACAGAGGGGGGGTACAGGGGGGAGCGGAGCAGGGGGGGGGGGGGTCTGGGGTACAGAGGGGAGCAGAGAGAGGGGGGGGGGGGTTTGGGGTACAGAGGGGAGCAGAGGGGGGGGGGGTCTGGGGTACAGAGGGGAGGGGGTCTGGAGTA